CCATCGAATCAGATACGAAAAGTGAACGCTACCAGAATACTGTAGTCTTACATCATGTCCGGTCTCCAACGACCTACCGTTTTCCTGATTCCGATTATGCTATGGTCTACCCACAATCTTGCGAACATGCCCACCCTGACCTAATCATTTGAAAGAATACATGAATGCTACGAATCATCTTGTAGTCTCACAACACTTCCCACAGCATCTGACCGCTAGTGAATGCTACGGCTACCCCTGTAGTCTTACAACACTTTTCATACTATCCGATCGCCTGTGAATGCTACAGCTACCTCCGCAGTCTTACAACACTTTCGCTCTAACACAACCGCAGTCCGATACCTTACCCTCAATATATCAATCCAGTTACCCTCAGAGTCTATCACACACTCGACTAAACACCCAAACTGAACTCAAATCATGACTGGAATCCCAAACTGATTCCCCAAATTATGCTATCAACCACCGAGAAGACGCGATACACATGCTGGGAAGTTTTACCAAACTCCAACTCACACAACCCTCAAACCAAACAGCCACTTGGGCCGCCTTTCTTCCTGACAAGGATACGAAACTTATCCCAGTTTCGAAACCACTCCCACTTTCGAATCCCGAGACAATTCTCCCGCACTTAGATTCGATTAAGTCTTCACAATACATGAAAATTGGAGAATTCCCAATCTTTCTACCTTTCCAATGATCGATCCGATAACAACCAACTCTTACCAACTAGTGCTCCATTACTAGCCAATCCCAAATGATCACACACTTCTAAGAACCAGATGAACACTTCCTGAATCCCAGTGAAACCGACAATCCCTAATGCTTGAATGATCCCTCATTCAAATCTTGAAGACCAAAATATAGATAATCCAACTAATACCTCAACAACGAGCTACTTCCTTTGGCGCTTTCACCCGCCAATCAATAACGGTTACTAAAACCACTGAATCCCGACAATGCTGAATAACCATCCTGTGGGAACCTGTCCGCAGTCCTCCTATATAATACCCCTTTTCCAAAGGCGCTACAAACAAGTCTCCCGCCTCGAGCGATAGAAATCTTTTTCATTCAGGGTTCGCACCCTGACTCACTCACCAGCTCAATCGTCCACAGCTGAACTGTAGTAACTGAAGCAACCTCTGCACTAAACCGGGCTAAAACTACTCCCACGACATAGTCTACAATCCCAAAAGTGCAATAGATCGCACAATCAATCCTTACCACCTGATACAAGAGATCCAAGGCAACCGGACGTCACAAAATACTTATGCCAGCTCGACCCACCTGCGCTCACAAGCACTGAAATAATCTCGCCAATCCGTGCAACCAACTTACCCCGAGCTGAAATATAACTTGATCCTGGGGTCACAATCCTGCTCACTCCTTCGAGCTCGAAAACTGATGGGGCACAATCCTCGCCCTATAAAACGACAGCCCAATCCATGACTTAACCACTCCACTTCCAGCTGTCAAAACCCCAGTCGAACATAATCATCACTCTTTTCCAGAGTCCCCGCCACTCACATTCCGGCCTCGAGCAAAACCTCCGAAGCCTCAAATCCATACACGCCTGTGATAGCCACTCCCGCTCATCCCGTGGAAAATAATAAGTACAGAATACCTCCCTGATCTCAAGTAACTGCAACCCTCCGCTCATCAGAATACGTCCCAGTACTGGAAAGATCGACCAGCTCCTCCCCTTGCCGTCGTTACCGCTGCTAAAGCTGCCGTGACAACCGTCTCGGAAATGGCTGCATAGCGCTCGTCGAAATACTCAGCCATGGCAGTCTTAATAGACCCGACATCTCCGGAAACTGCCCCCAGACAATCTTGATCACCTCATCCCGGATGATCTCACTAACACGATCCCCTGAAAATGCTGGCCTCTCTTGGCTGCCCGCTCCCGATCCTAACCTGGATCCGGTCTCAAGACGTCTCGTAACCACCATTCTGGTAAAACACCAGAAAGATCTTTGATAACCCATATAATGACAGGGACCAACTCCCAACCCAACCCTAGGGGTTGTGACTTCCTTGCTACGCGTATGGGTCCTGTGCTTTCAGTAGTACGGGCCCATACTACCTTCCACACCTACCCATATTTGTCTCAAGTATCATCACAACGCCCTAACAATATACATAATCATAGCGAGCGCTCAATCCTCACTCCTAGAGGAAAGCTAAATATCTCATAACTGGCCTCCCGGCCTCTCTCTACCCACCCATCCATGAAACTTTCACCAACACTGCAACACCAGTGTATGCTAACCATACATAACGCTGGACCCTATAGACTTTCGAATATCTGATCCTACCCTAAGCCCTAATCAATAAGAACAGAACATAAGGCCAAATCAAACATTCTCGGGCTATAAGATCTTAATTATGTACAACCGCGATACATACACAAGTAACTACAGTAATGATGTCAATCTCATATAAAGAAAACCCTAGGCTAGCAGGCATCATGTAATCAGACAATTCTATCATGCAATTCCTGAAGATCCCTAGCCTAGTACTAGCATGTTGTTCTATCATATCACATAATCAAATAACCGTATGGTATTTTGGGGTCTACTTACTGGCTTCGGCTGATCGTACACTTGCATCCTCCTTTACTTATTTTGAAAACCATTTAAAAATCATTTTGAAAATCTCTCCTTGATTTGAGACTGGATTCACATGAGTGTTCCTCCAATTCACTCAAACCAAGGCTCTGATACCAACTTGTAACATCCATAAAATTCCAGCCAATTTAAAACTTTTTAAATCATTTAAAACCATTCAGTTATTACAATTTGTTTTCAAAATAGTTTAAACATCAGAGTTCCCAGAATCAAAATCATCAATCGAGGAAGTGTACAGTCACGCCTTCGCCTTCCCGTGGTCATCCGCTGAACCTGAAACAATAAACTGAAACTGCAAGCTTGAAAGGATTAGTGAGTTACCCCCAAAATACCAACGCCATACCGATATAACCATAACATATAACATATAAGTAAACAGAACAACCATGCATCTCGAGTCTACAATGTGACTGGTCCGCCCGCACCGGGCCTTCAGTCTACCTGGTCCACTCTATGAGTCTACAGTATGCATAATGAGCCTTCAGCCAGACTGGACCGCCTCGCAGGGCCTACAGCCTATCCGGACCGCTCGCCGGTTATGGTTGGCCTTACGCCACAAAGCAGAACCGCCTCAACCCAACCCCCAACCAAACAAACATGTGCACATAAATATCAAACGCTAACTCATATCATATAACAATCAAATTAATCTAACAGATCACTAATCATAGCAACATCTGGCACAAATATCATATGCTAGCTCATATCATATAATAGTCAAACTGATCTAACAGATCACTAATGATAGGAACATCCTACACAAATATCATACGCTAGCTCATATCATATAACAGTCAAACCGATCTAACAGATCACTAATCATAGCAACATCCCAATAACCGGGATACAGACCTAACCGGTCACTAACATAGCATCATCCTATAACCAAGACACCGACCTAACCAGGTCACTAAGCATAATCATATCACCATCCTAACTACTAGGATGTAATCAATAAACATATCATGCCATAATCCAGATACAAATCCATAAAGGGCCGGCCTTGGTGCCTTAGACCCTGTTGATATATTGAGGATAACTCACCTTGCAATGCCGAACTGAACCACGAAATCGCGCTCCCGAAACACTGCCCCAAGCTCCAACACCTATAACCACCAATGATCCATACTTATAAATTTCCAACTTCCCAAAATGCCCCAGAAGTCAAATAGACAACCCTTGGCCAAAGTCAAAGTCAACGATCAAGGTCAACAATCCATGTTGACCCGACTCGTCGAGTGCAATCACTGACTCGTCGAGTCCTTCCAAAATCCGAGTAGTTGGGAAACCCCCCACTGACTCGTCGAGTTTCCTGCAACTCGCCGAGTTCAAGCGTGTTCAAACTTTGGGGAAACCCAAGTTGACTCACCGAGTCACCCCACTGACTCGCCGAGTCCATGCAGAAGTCCTTGCACGACAATCTTCATCGGACTCGCCGAGTTGAACATGCAACTCGGCGAGTCCCTTCAGTCCACTATCCATTCAGATGCCTTTTAAGCAATTTTAAGGTTCCAAATTGCAGATCCAGCTTCCCAAGGCATGTTTATCACGTAAAGTTGCAAACTTTACGTGCATGCAAGGCTCTAAAAATCTTATAATGTCAAAACCAAGCTTGAAATGGAGTTTCACACTTAAGGAGAGGTTGATACTTGCTAAAGCTGAGAGCTTTATGGACTTAGAGACCAAAGAGAGCTCAGATCTGAAGTTACAACTTCAGATCTTAGCTCATACCCAAGAATAGCTTCTTATTATGCTAGAAAAGCCCTAATCTTTTACCAAATGAGATCTAGAATGAAATGAGGTCAAGGTAACGACTTGATACCTTCCAAAAGATGCTAACTGAGGTAGATATCAGATCCCCACACGTTTCTTGCTTCTAGCCACTTGCTCTCCAAGCTCTTCTTACAAAGATCCACCTTCCAAAGCTTAAAACACCCAAGAATGAAGCACACACACGGATTAGGATTTGCTGGATTCTCAAGAGGCTGTAAGGGGGCTGAAGGAGGCTTATGATCCTTTAAATAGGGTGCAAAACCCCGAAAATTAGGGTTTCATCCTTCAGCTCCTACTCGTCGAGTCCTATCTTGGACTCAGCGAGTAGATCACTTAAACACGTGGCCCAAACCGCTCCTACTCGACAAGTCAGGCCATCCAACTCGTCGAGTAGACCTTGCAACTTATGAAAATCAAAACCATAAAATTATCACCTGAGAGTCGGGGCATTACAAATTCACCATTTCTAATGGTAAATTATGGTGCTTTGATTTATACTTTTCGGTCTTCTATCAAGTTGTTTGGTAATAGGCCATGCAACAGGTAATCATAGAAGGGAGTCATCCACCCTTTTTCTTCCATGGAAATGGCGTGTACTCAGGATTCGTCTATGATGCGACTGCTAAGTATTTCTAATAATACCTTTTTTGAAAAGTGGCTGTATGTGGTAGCTACCAGTTTGATCAACGCATCCGTGCATCTATTTTCCCTTCTTTTGATTTGCTCCACGATCAAGCTTTCGAATGATGCTGCCATCTCGCTTACATCCGCCACATACTTTTTCATTCTTGTATTCTTCATGTCATATGTTCCATTGACCTTTTTTGTGACTAGCATTGAATCATTCATTACTCTCAAGTTTTTTACTTCCATTTTGCACGCTATCCTTAACCTTGACAATAATGCCTCATATTCAACTTTATTATTAGATGTTTCAAAGTCAAAACGCAATGCATGAGTTACTTTGTTATCTTCGGGGTTGGTCAATATGAGTCCTGCACCAGATCCTTCCTTACTAGCATCACCATCCATGTATAATACCTAAATTTGTTTTTTTATCGAGGCTTCATTGCCTTCCTCCAGTCGTGTGGTAATTGGATTGCATTCCTTGTCTGGTACTTATGCCAGGAAGTCGATAGGGCCTGCCCTTTTATGCTCGTTCAGGGAAGGTAGTCTATGTCGTGTTCCCCAAGTTTAATTTACCACTTTATTAGTCTTCCAGATTTTTCTGGCTTGAACAAGATGCTTTTAAGCGGTTGGGTTGTCAAGACTTCGATTCTATGAGCTTGGAAATAGCGGCGTAGACACCTGATTTCATATACTAATGCTAACACCACCTTCTTTACCATGGGATAGATTAACTCTGCTCATTGTAGTGCTCTAATAATAATGTATATTGGTAGCCATTTTTCTTGTATTTCTAGCGTTGGCAACAGATATGACCTATTCTATGGCCGATAAGTATACATATAATGTTTCTCCTAGAACGAGGCTAGCCAAAGTTGGTAGCTGTCAAAGTGATTTTTTTAAATTCATACAGAGCATGCTCTGCTTCGGGTGTCCACCAAAAAATACATTTGTCGACACTTCCTTTTAACGTTTGGAATAACGACATTGCCTTATCGGCCGATCGCACAATGAAACGTACTAGCGCCATAATATTTCCATTCAGGTCCTGCATCTCTTTTAGGCTCTTGGCTCTACTGTGTCGAGTAGCTCTGTTACTTTCTTCAGGCTTGGTTGGATTCATTCACTCGTCATGTAATATCCTAAGAACTTTCCTTCTTGTACGCCGAAAGTGCATTTTGCTGGGTTTAAATTCATACACATTTTTTCTAAGGTCTTGAGCATTTCTTCAATATCCTTGAGGAGTACTGTGTCGCCCTGAATTTTAATTACCATATCGTCCACATAGACTTCTATGTTCCTCCATATCTAATCCTTTAAAATCTTTTGTACAAGGTGTTGATAAGTTGCTCCGACATTCTTTAGCCCGAAGGGCATTTTTGTGTAGCAGAACGTACTGTGGTCAGTGTAGAATGTTTTTGTCTCCACGTCTTCCTTTTTTCATTAAGACGTGGTGGTAACCTTTATATGCATCAAAGAAGCATTTACATTGGAAACCTTGTAATGACTCGACCTTCTGGTCTATTTCAGGCAACAAGTATGAATCCTTTAGGCACACTTTATTTAGATCTCAGTAGTCTATGCACATCCTCCAGCTTCAATCACTTTTTGTAACCATGACCGGATTGACAATCCATACGAGAAAAGGCCTTCACGTAATATTTTTGCATCAAGAAGGATCACAACTTCCAAGTTGATTTCCCTATTTCTTTCTCCTACTTGGCTGCTTTTTTTCTGTTTAATGCTACTTGCGCCTTGTTGTATGTTTAATCCATGCTCAGATATGGTTTTGTTTATCCTTACCATATCCATTGGTGTCCATGCGAACACATGTTTGTATATCTTCAACAGTTCTATAAGCTTCTCACGTGTCTCTGTAGGTAACCTCGTCCCTATTCGTATTTGTTGATCGGGGTAATCGCTATTAATTATCTCATTCTCCTTTGGCGTATCATCCCTCTTTCTCTTTACTCCCCTGGTGATCTCTGGAGCTTCCATTATTTGGTAACATTGATCCCTTGTAGAGTTTTCGACGACTATAATTGTTGGACCGTCTGGTGTGTTGAATTTGACTATAATGTGTATCGTTGATTCTATGGCTCCGAAACGCAACAAAGTTGTTATTCCCAAGAAGATAATGTTGTGCTTTGCCAGGTGTTGTACTACCACGAAATCTATCAGTACAATTTTCTTTCTTTTTCCATCGTGGCTATGAAGCTAAAAAGGTAGCTGTACTGTTCCAGTTGGCCATATGATATGCCCCGTGAATCCCGTCAGTCTTCCAACTGTTGGGCGATGTAACACTCTAAATTTTCAAAAACAAATTTCATTTTTAAAATCACATAGAAACCCAATGTCACATTTCTCAAAAACCACAAATGTATAAGTTCTCAAAACACAAGTCAACAATTGTTTGATAATATCCTAGAATCCTCAAAAACATAAACTCTAACTTGTGTGTACAATCAAGCCGGTGCCTTCCCGCGATCCCGAGAAGTACCTGAAACAGATATCATACAACACTGCAGGAAGCTCTAACCGATAAGCTACCTTACTCACTCGGGCGATCACTCTGAAAGGACCGATGAATCTAGGGCCCAACTTGCCCTGCTTCCTGAATCGGATCACCCCTTTCCATGGGGATACCTTCAGTAGGACATAATCTCCGACCTGGAACTCTAGCTCTGAACGTCGCCGGTCTGCGTAACTCTTTCAGATGACTCTGGGCCGTCAGTAACCTCTGTCTGACTTGCTAGATCTGCTCCGTCGTCTTGAGCACTAACTCAGTGCTCCCCATCACTCTTTGTCCTACCTCTCCCCAACAAATGGGGGTCCGGAACCTCCTCCCGTATAAAAGCTCAAAGGGAGGCATACCGATACTGAAGTGATGGCTATTGTTGTATGAAAACTCAGACAAGGGAAAGTAAGTGTCCCAACTTCCACTGAAGTCCATAACACATGCGCTTAGCATGTCCTCGAGCATCTGAATCGTCCGCTCGCTCTGCCCGTCTGTCTGTGGGTGGTAAGCGGTGCTGAAATGCAACTGGGAACCCAACTCCTCGTGAAATTTCTTCCAGAACCGGGAAGTAAAACGCACATCCTGATCTGACACTATCAACGTTGGCATCCCATGCTGTGCCACCACCTCTCGAACGTATATCTCGGCTAATTTCTCCGCAGAAGAGATCTCACTTATAGCCCGGAAGTGAGCACTCTTTGTCAACCGATCTACAATCACCCATATCGCATAGACACCTCGCGAAGTCCTCGGTAACTTGGTAATAAGATCCATGGAAATCTGCTCCCACTTCCATAGAGGAACCTCTAAAGGCTGCAACTTGACATGAGGACGCTGGTGCTCTGCCTTGACCTGGCGACAGGTCAAGCATCTCTCGACTACCCATGCCACATCTCTCTTCATACAGGGCCACCAATAATCCCTTCTCAAGTCCAAATACATCTTAGTGCCCCCAGGGTGAATAGAAAACCTCGACTTATGGGCCTCCTCCATCAAAGTCTGTCGATCTCCACCCGAATATGGCACCCATATCCGCCCATGATAGGTCATAAGCCCATGACTATCAATCTCAAACTCAGAAATCTGCCCAATCACCCGCTCTCTCTTACGGTTCTCTGGTCTCATGGCCACCGCTTGGGCCTCTCGGATGGTATCTAAGACTGGAGTCATCACCGCCATCCTCATGCACACATCTCGGATTGGAGGACTCGCTGCTCTACGACTCAGGGCATCGGCTACCACATTAGCCTTGCCAGGATGATACAAAATCTCACAGTCATAGTCTTTCACTACATCCAACCACCTCCTCTGTCTCATATTCAAGTTGGTTTGATCCATAAGGTACTTCAGGCTCTTATAGTCTGTGTATATGATACATCATACACCATAAAGATAGTGGCGCCAAATCTTGAGGGTGAATACCACCGCCCCCGGCTCCCAATCATGGGTGGGGTATCTCGTCTCGTGAGGCTTCGACTGCCTTGATGCATATGCTATCACGTGCCCCCTCTACATCAACACGACACACATCTCCGATATAGATGCATCACAATAGACTACAAAGTCCTCCACTCCCTCAGGAAGAGCTAACACTGGAGCTTCACACAATCTCTGGCGAAGAGTATCAAATGAGGCCTGTTGCTCGGGCCCCCAAACAAAAGTAACACCCTTCCGGGTCAACCTGGTGAGAGGAACGACATTCTTGGAGTAATCTATAATAAACTTCCGATAGTAACCTGCCAAACCCAGAAAACTCTTGATCTCGGATGGGGATCTCGGCACCTCCCATCGCATAACTGCCTCAATCTTGCCCGGGTCGACCAAAATCCCATTCTAATTAACGATGTGTCCCAAGAACTGGACCTCTCGTAACTAGAAATCACACTTGGAGAATTTGGCATAAAGCCTCTCCACCCTAAATACTGCAAGGATCTCTCGCAGGTGCTCCTTATGTTGTTCCCTAGACCTCGAGTACAACAAAATTTCGTCGATGTACACGATCACCGACCCATCCAACATGGGTCTGCACACCTGGTTCATGAGGTCCATGAACACTGCAGATGCATTGGTGGGCCCGAAAGGCATCACCACAAACTCGTAGTGCCCATAACGAGTTCAGAAAGCTGTCTTCTGAATATCCTCCTCACAGACCGTCATCTGATGATACCCAGATCTCAAATCAATCTTGGAAAACCAAGACGCCCCCTGCAACTGATCAAACAAGTCATCGATCCTCGGTATTGGATAATGGTTCTTGACCGTCAGCTTGTTCAACTCCCGGTAATCGATGCACAACCGGTGTGAACCATCATTTTTCTTGACAAAAAGGATCGACGCTCCCCATGGTGAGCAACTTGGTCTAATAAAACCCTTCCCCAGCAGCTCCTGGAGCTGCGAGGACAACTCCTGCATCTCAGGTGGCGCAAGGCGATAAGGTGCCTTGGCAATAGGTTCCGCACCTGGAATCAGATCGATCCGGAACTCCACCTGCCTCTTAGGAGGCACACCCGGTAATTCCTCGGGGAAAACGTCAGGGAACTCACACACTACCGGAACATCGGAAATAGAACTTGGCCTCTCAGTGGCAACTCACGTATCCATCATGTACACTAAAAACCCCATACATCCAATGCTGTAAACTTTGCCTCGCCCTAGCGGCAGAGCAGAAAGCTGATTCCGATCTAGTTCCCTTGCCATACACAGTAAGTACTCCCCCAATAGGGTCTCGTATGGTCACCACTTGACGCTCACAGTCAATCACGACTCCAAACCGGATCAACCAGTCCATACCCACTATGACACATACATCACCCATCGCTACCGGCACCAGATCTATCGGGAACTCAACACCAAAGATCTCTAAAACACATCCTCGAAATACATCAGT